CCAAGTCGCTCGTGCTAACGATGTTATTCGTGCATCGCCGTTCTTGATATATCGATCGTCGTCGCTCCGCCGAGGACACAGAGAATAGCGACACGCCCTGGGATTACTTCAATTTTTTTAAATGAAGCTTAGTAGTACTTATTGTGTCCAGGAATCCCTGAAATCTCTTAAGTACCTAATGTGTTCAAGAATATAAATCCGTAAGCAGCTAATTCTGATTGTTTCGGAATGGATAAAGCATTATGATTGTCAATGCCTTATAATTTGTTTTTCCTTATCTTTCAATTCCACGGTTATTAAACCGCTAAAGTAAAGACTTTGTTTGCCACATATGCGTATGTCATCGGACAGCATTCTCTCTCTCGTAATTCGCACACTTGTGCTTTTCACGGTTCAGTCCAAGCAACATTGTGAATGGCTATTAAAGCTCGATATCGCTTTCCACTTCCCCGACGATGATATCGCGGCAGCATGTTCCCCGCGACGACGTCTCAAGGTTGCACGGATTGCGGCGGGTTATATTCTCAGGCGATCATCGCTCCTCCCTGCCCGAGGCACTCTCGCGGCGTTTTGTAATTACGCGCCGTCCGTCTTATCCAAAATCATCCCGTGCGTACGCGGCTTATCCAATTATCATCTGCTTTCCGCGCTGGCGTAAACACACACACTTCGCGGGTTGCTTATAATGTAGCAGTCCACCGCGATCGCGTTTCTGAAGTTCTGCCCGCTGGAAGGTGGCCGCTCATCCCCGACACCACCTTACGCCCGACGATAATTACCCGGCTCCCCAAGAGAGCCGCTAAGTATTTCGTAATTAGAGGCCTGCCGTCTTATCCGAAATCGCACTCTCGATTACAAGCTCACGCGGCTTATCGATTATCATCTCTACCTCCTGCATAGCGCGCGCGAAGTCGCTTACTTTTACCTTCTACCGTATACTTTCTTGATTTCCACTGTTTCTCAAGTATATCTTTTATTACGAACACCAAGGTAGCAAGAAGCACGTCACGTCAATCAGTCGTGGCTCGAGGATCATTCAAGGGTCATTCGTTACTTCGGTATGATGTTGAAGATCCGGGAAATTCGCTATGGAACCGTGAAGCATTGATACTCGCGCGAGTACTTCGCAGCTTGACGAAGATCACGATTGAAGAGATGGCAATGACGAAGTCAAACGAGTCAGCGTGCAATTTATCTAACATGTCGCTTTCTCCTTTCGATAACGTAATAGTGCCGCGTGTCACGTGTCACATTGTTGCGAGGAGGAACCCGTAGGCGTTAATGATGAAGTCGCGGGACTTATCCGGAGTACATCTAATATCCGAGTGCGCTTTGGACAAACACGTATGGCGTACGCCCGACGTTGATCACCTGGGTAACACCTCAAGGTTACGCTTTAGTAACAGCTACATTTCTACCGACAAACAGCCTGCGGTATGGCGAGCCGCGGGGTGTCCGGAGAAGAAGCGAGAAAGTACACATTCATAGAAAGAATTAGCTCGTATAATGCCTTTAGAGTGCAATGGTGGATTTATCAAGACGGCAATCTGAACGGTCACTCGAGTCCGCGAAGATCTTCAGATTCCCGATCTCGTAATTTGTTGCTTGACGAGCGAGTTAAATGAACATAGAATAGAAAGACGAAAACGAATCGAGGCGATCTTATCATTGGAGCTTATTCTCTCAAATATGTGGAATATCTCGAGAGAGGCGGATCTCTAAGATGCTGCATTCTGTGTAGATAGGCTCGATCGGAAGGTACCTGTTTGCGCAATTCTCGTAGTGCGCTTCGTAATTGCGCATGGCGCGACTTAACCGCGATCACATTCACTGTAGCTACAACCGCGTGGCTTATCGGATTATCGTTTACTTTCTGCACCGCATAAATATACCACAGCGCCGCTAGTAAAACGCGCTACTCCAAGCAAAACGTTAGCTGCATAAAATAAAGCACTGTTGACCAGCGGAGCGAATGATTAATACATGTTTAATTGTAATTAAAGTACGCGGTCTAAATGAATTAAATACGAAGCTCCACAAAAATCAACTCATAGAAAGACTGCTATTGGCGAGAAATATTATCAGTTTCATAATAGGTCTCCATAAATCCAAGTGGTTTTAGAATTAGATATGGATGACGTGTCATTGGAAGAAAATATTGGAATCGAATATTAGTGAAAATTATCAGAAATAATAGAAAATTGTCACAAAAAGGATATTGAACATTTATTTCTACAGAAGCGATGGTTATTTGTTGAATTATTTATTGTTATTTATTATTATTTATTGAATATATCTTAATTTAAACTTTCATATTTAAACCTCGATAAATTAATGAATTCTTTTGCAAACATTCGAAATGTTTTTCATCGTAATTGTGAGAATATGTTATACACTGGCACTTCCTACGGAACATAAACTATCAGAAAATTATACCCATAGACTTATAAGATAGACCCAGCATGCCCCCATGGTAGAAGTGAAGCCGCCAGAATAGTGAGAGTGAGTGAGAACAAAATACAACGGTGAAGTATTTCTATTCTTTTCCATTATTGTGAATATACGCGTGTAAGAGAAGGATAGAGATTCATCGATGTTTTGCATCTTTCACCGTTCTGCTAGCTTAACTTCTACCATAGGGGTATGCTGGGTCTATCTTATAAGTCTATATGATTATACCGATATTATAATTTAACACTCAACAACGTAACTGTTATGTACAACATGTGTCATATTACAATATTGTTGATTGGGAAATTATAATATTGATATGATATATACTATTAGCTTGTGTTCTGCGAGTTATTAGTAATAATAGCCAAAGCATGCAATTTGCGAATGTATTTTTATTATTACTCGATTCCTCGATTCCGAGAATTAGACGAGACACTTCGCACAAGAATCAAATAACAGAAAAATTTCAAATACCGACAATACCGTAGAAGCTTTATTAACAGTATCGATAATTTATAGAATTACAGATAGTAGGTCAATATTGTCATTATCGGAAAAGGGTTGGAATTAAATATTGACGAAATACCAGAAATAATATTATCTAGAAGTTGCAATAAAAAGAGTATTAAATAGTTTCTGCACATTGACGCGATTATTCTTAATTTAATATTACTCAAGTTGTAAAACCGTAAAATTAATGAACAGTACTATCCCGCAAATATTAGAAATGTTTTTTTTTTATCGTGATCGCAAGAATATGTTTTCTAGCGGTTATTAATAATAATAATAATCGAAGCGCGCGCGTCCGGTTCACAAGTACCTCGGACACCGATGAGCAAAAGATGCAGTCCGCTCTACCCGGTGCGGTATTTCGCAATTAGCCTGGAAGCTTATCTCGATCGCAGCATCTCCGGGGAGTTTCTAAAGAGCAGAGTCACGGCGTTCCGCGGGTCCTCGATCGCGATCGCGAAACTTCGGGCGATAATGCGACGCATCGATCATCGCTGCAGCGCCTCGAGGCTATACACGCACGCACACGCACCGTCGGGACAACCGATGGTTAGCTCTCTCGACTAACCCCGCGCGACCGTGCACACGAATATCTCATAATTCCGACGTGGTCACGCATCCCGGCCGCAGCTGCGGCCACGCCGACCGAACTTTATTAGCATACATATAAAAATGCGTGCGTCCGCGCGTAAACGGGCGCGATAAATTACGTCTGAAACTCCCTTAAATATCTCGTAAAACGTCAGTCAATGAAATCCATTAGTTCAGGTACGCCGACGTAGTTGGTCGCTGCCCCGCATTACCGACAACGTCCGCCGTCTCGCCGTCCGGAGGTTCCTACCCGCTCCTTTTCTCGCTATTTGCTCGCGAATTAAAGGCGCTCGTTTCGGCGTCGCGGTCTTTAAATACGACTGATTAACGAGCGTGTGAATATGAGTCACGTTACGATATCGTAAACGTAATTGCCGATGGATGGCGAAATTGAAAGAGCCGAAGGACTTCTCTGTCCTATACGTATTCTGCGTTAAAAGTACGATCGCTCTTAAGCTCGGCAGCCTCTTTGAAATATGACTAATACATTAATTACAAAGAAAGATACTTGAATATGTATATTTCTTTGTAGATTATATAGATAAAAAATTGCTATATATAATATATCATGGTAATTAGCAAATAAAATTATATTATAAATAATAAATAATACAGATGATACTTATAGTAAAATAAATAAATTATATATTTGAGTCTCACATTCTCAATTTTCCTAGAATTTACTATGAACTCCAGAGTATCTATGAAACGTGAAATTATTGATCTTGTTCGAAATAATTAGGAAATAAGTGGAAACAAAAATTTTATGAAAAGCATCTTTGTTGCTTTAAAGATTTGTTTTATCCACTTATAGTACTTCTACAATGTGCTCTTTGTTTCCTGTTTCTTGTTGTTTGTCGCTTGCCTTTTGGTCAAAAAGGCAATAGTGAGCAAGAGACAAACAGTAAGAAACAGGAAACAAAGAGCACATTGTAGAATTACCATTAGAGTAAAAGACAGTAATAGCAGCTATAAAGGTGACGATTATACAAGTTTTATGTGATTAAAATTAACATTGAAATGTATATAATTGAATAAACTATTTTATACTTTATAGTTGTTACTTATTTATATTATTTTACAGCTATTATAATTATAAGGTAGTTTGTTCAACTCTGTATCAATTCTACATTCAGAAAATTTTCTGATTGAATGGATAAACTAGAAAATTCTGATCGTATCAATGAATTATCTGAACTATAGAATTATATCTGTCCATTTTCAACCAGAATTCCAATTAACGCAACCAGATTTTCTTCCAGTGTATGTATAAAACTGGTATAGTTGTCACATTTGTAGTTGCTGCTACTGTCTTTTTTTCTGAGCGTCCAATAACGACTCGCTCGAATTTGTCCTGCGTACACGTAGCGTGTCTCGGATCGAGTTCCTCGAACGCGTCAGCACCGATACTCCGGCATCTCTGCCGATCGACACGCGTCACTTACCGGCCGGTCTTCGTGATGATCATCTCTGTACCGAGGTCGTTGAACTTGTCCCAGAGCTCCTTGGTCTCGAGGTGGCACTCGACATCACGCAGCTCGTCAGAGTTGCAGCTGGTCCTCAGACGTTGCCTCCTCTCGTCCGTGTTGCTGCTACTTTCCGCGCTGCTTCTTCGCGAGGGCGTGCCGGCCTCGGCACGGTCTTCGGCCAGCACTTCGTGGACTGGCCCTTCTTCGACGCTGCTGCACTCCTCCACATCGACGTCCACCTCCTCATCTTCCTCGTTCGCGGACTTCTCGGTACTTTCGCTCTCGCCCTCGCAGTTCTCAGTCTCCTCTTCGCCCAAAAGGGCTTCTTCCGTCACTACGGTCGCCGTCGCGACGATGTTCACTGGTGACTGTTGCACACCTGCTATAAAAAGATCCTCTACTTATCACATTTGTACATATTATCAATACATAATATAAAAAGTACAGTTAGAAAAAATATTTATTTAATCATGGAATAGTTACTGGAGTGATTTTTACACCCCAATAGTAAGAAAATAAAGCTCAGTTGTAATAATTTTCTTTATCTATCAGGAACTCATTTTTATTTCTTTTTTTTTTTTAATAAATATATACGTATACATAATGATCTCAAATATAGTAATAAATTATAAGAAGAATCAATAATATAAATTTTTTAATTGGGGTATAAAAACAATCCCATCGTTTACGTAAAAAGAATTATGTGACTATTTTCATGTCAATAACATTCTTTATTCATCGAAATGTAACTTGCAAGCAGTTTTAATTTCCATCCTAAGTGTAATATTGATAACAAGCCGTCTGTTTTAAAATAAAAATGGTTTTGTGTCTGTAAGAGTGAATTAAATGTAAGTAAATTATCTGTAAAAGCTTCCACAATTATTAGTACATAAATAATACATATATAAGATAATATATTATAAGATAAGTCATCTGTCTCTGATTAAAACTTTCGTCCAGCCAATGGTTCTAAAAAGATTGTAGCCGCATCGATCGGAGTTTATTAGGTTGAGATTTATCGTAAAGTAACAACGTCAACGACCATCGCGTAAGATGCGGAAAGGAAATCCCCGAAGCAGGCGCGCGATTATCGCGAACCGCGTCGATTTAAATGAGCAAGATGAGTCCGGACGATATCGGGGGGGCTCGCCGCCTGTTTAATTAATCGACCGGGCCCCACATCTGCCACAAGGTGGTGGCCGGCGCCTAATTAAACCGTCAGATTTTCAAGAAAGCCGATCCGCCGCCGTGCCGGTGTGTACACAATGTTAATTGCGCCGGGTCCGCGATATCGATCTGTTAATTTGTACTATTCCGCGCGAACAATGCGTCTTCTGGGCGTGCGTTTATCTCAAATTGGATCCGCCGGCCGCGTTGTTCGCGAGTGCGTTCACGCACGTGCGGTGGTACGCGGGAAAATTTATCGACGCGGTTACCGTCGACGAGAAACAGGTCGCCGACATCGCCGTGGCTCTTCCGTTCCGCACAAACTGTCTGTCCACGCGGAAAAGACTATTACGATCCGTGTTCTTATTTCCATTTAGCGCCATGTTACCGTTAGATACGGCTGTCCGATATGGAGAATTTATTCGCTTAATGTGAAAATCGCATATATCGGTAGGAGGGTTGAGGAGAATCCGACAGCGTATTTAATATTGTACCCAAGAGCCTTACTCATTTAGTATCAAGATAGCATTCAATGTTAACGGGAAACAAGACGCAATAAATATTTCTAAAATATTTTTAACAGGGTGAGAAGGGAGGATAATTATCCACGGGTATACTCATCATATATATTTATGTTTATGAAGATGGTTGTTCGATAAAAACGGTCGAATACCCGAGTCTCTTTCGTTTCCTGGGGAGAGCGACTTCGTGGGCTAATGACTTAATGAGTCACCGCGTGTGCTTCTTCCTGCTTCGCTGAAGTTTCTACTTCTCGATCACAAATTGAGCAGCTTCCACTGGAGGAGATGTGTGTACATCTCACGGTTCGCCATGTCAGGAAACACGGCGATGATCGCGCCCATTGATCGTAGACGTTAATTTGATGCGTCGCGTCGCTTCCCATTTTTTTTTTTCTGACGTTTGGTCACACACTATCACACACCACGCTGACTGCGCATCGCTTCTCTCCTCGCGTTCTCTTACCCGCTCAAACCGGTTAAGCTAAATTTTCGACAATAATGATGACAACGACGACGATGACGACGACACGCATTCGATGGCGATTACTTTCGCTTTTTCGTGCGTCGCGCTGCGTTGCGCGCGAACTTATTATAGCAATTTACATTCCGTTTAGGCGAAACCAGTTATCTTTTTACGAGATTACCGACGGTTGCCAAATTTCTTAATCGCCTTGAGACAATCTTTCGTCGCTACTTAAATACTTTACAGAAAGCTATATATTTGATAGAAAGCTTTATATCTGTCATCTTAATTCCGAAATATGAGAAGCGTTTGGATTTCGATTTTAAAGATAACTCCTAGCAGCCAGACGAGCAAAAATATAGTGATTTTAAAGAGAGAATAAAGTTAGTGAAAAAATTCAATTTTAAAAGAACTTTTAACGCTTGAAATTTTCGTTAACAATTAATCGTATTTAATCATGAAACGGAGAAAACACTTTTAACATTAGAATATGATTATACATATATACTTTTTTCTATTATTAAACTATATATTTTTAGAAAAAGGGAAAATAAATTGATGGATTTACATATTGCGATAAAAATCACGAACTTGAAAAATGTAATAACTTTAAAACTGTTACAATTAATTATTTTAAATTTCTAATTGTTATAAATTTGAAAAAATGTTATTCCAGCTTCAGCTCCAAACTATGTAATAGTAATTTATCTATTGGATAAACCGAAAGAGCAAGACAGTACATTGAAGTCTACTAAAAGGTGGAAGACCCTAAATTTAATTAATTTTGTTCAGAAACAGTTAACAAGCAAATAAATAGAACACTAAGTTCGCGCACGTGGAAATATTTGCACACGTATATGAATCGAATGCGCGAATTTCGTGAAATTCGAATGCGTAGAACGACGCGAACGGCTGGGTAGCGCCAGGAAGCGAAGCGCGCCTTGAACGCGCAGAGCGTAGTTACGCGCATCGCGTGCGGTTCGCGCGTTGCGTGTGCGCACATCTGCGTGCACGCACGCATGCACGCACTCACTCATTCACGCACACACGCGGCCGGCTAATAATAATGCGCGTAGAGGCCACGTTCGCAGTTCGCGTCGCGGCACGCGTGTCACGTCACTCGCGAGTTACATGTAGAGAAACGCGCGTAAGAGCGAAAGCGAACATACACAGCATATACACGCACGCATCTGTGCGCTACCTTTTGTTTTTTTTCTCGCGTGGTTACGAAATCGCTCGATTTTCTCATTGAAGCATCGCAGCGTTGTTGAGAAAAACTGCCCGGTTCTGGGGAAGAAGTTCTCACGCGTGAACAGCCGGTGGACGCGCGCTCGATAGGGGAAAAAAAGAGCCCGGTGCGTTAAAATTAACACCTCGACACGCGTCTCTTGCGTGAGCCGCGAATGCGTCGTCGTCGGCCTTCCGCGACGTCACGCACGATGAAATTGCCCGGGACGTGCATCTTGCCCCGACGTTGCTCGTTAATTTGCGAACAATCGGCTTTCCGGCTGAAAATCCACTTATTCCAGCTACGACACGTTCTTCTCCCGTTTTTCCGAGAAAGAGATACGTAAACATACAAACAGATAGAAGAGGAGTAAAATAAGTACTGTGTGAAACAGCAGTAACATAACAACAAATTAAATAACTCATTAAGAAATTTCCTGAGAAAACATATATATGATATTCGAAAAAATGATTAAACATTTGTTAGAATTATGTACGCTGAATGTAAAAGGTATATTTATGCAGATTTTTGGTAAAAAGCTTTATTTATGGAAAAGAAACATTAATTTGCAATTTTGTAATGAATGTTATCTTAATATAATTAAAAGATTTTAGAGCGAAAATAATTATAATTTTGGAAATGTCTTGACTGTATAAATATCTTTTATACATCTAAATAATATAACTTTTTATCATGTTTGCTTATTATTGAGATGTGCTTTAATTATCACACATCTTTTTATTTAAAATAATTTTGAAAAGTATACAATCTATTTTATTCTTTGTTAATGAATTATTAATTAATGTTTACTTTCTGAAAAAAAAATTAGTTTTTCTTATAGAGATATCTTTCCGAATACTTTTTACACTCATTCTAAATGTACCCGTTATTTTCAAGCGTATTACTACTTTAATAATGTGTGTCTTTGGATGAAAAATAAAATTGTGTAAGCTTGCAGTTACCAAAAAAACTGCAGTATATACAGCTCAAATTAATACGGTTTATTCCCATTAAATTTATTCAAATTTAGTTTATTCAATTTATTGTTAGTCTAAGAAAGGGGGGCAAACTAAATGTTTCAAACTAATCTCTACTATTAAACACACATATTTATTCTTCTTCTTTTTCTCGCACAATTATATCTTTCGCTGTGTCTATTTTTGCTTCTTTTCCGCTATCGGCTCTTTTTCCAAATCACTTAAATTTATTCTAAACTCGACAACCCGTCGCGCATATCAATTATTCCTTTTTGCTTAGATCTGTAACGTGTTTGTTTCGCTATGTAGATTCTTAAAATGTAGGTCAAAGAAATATTATATATAGAAATAGATAAATATATTGTATTGGTCTTTATCTTTCTGCTTTATTCGTAAAACGTTTTCAATTGTTACAAATGACCTGTTCCACTTTCTCTTCGGCTCCTTCATTTTTCAAACATTAACAAGAATAAATGATACCTTCGGATTCGATTTTGGGGTCACATGAGGCACACAGCGTGTCGTATATGAAAAACAGACATGGGTCCGATGGTGACTTAAAGTGTGCCGTATCGTAATCGGCACACGAACGCATAAAGCGACACCATGGGGCAGAATGAATGCTCGACCGGAAGCTTTGCGGGCAAATATACAGAAGGAGTTGTAGAGGGAGAAAGAGAGAGAGAGAGAGAGAGGAATAGCTTTGCACAATGTATATGCGAGCGCGCGTGCGAGAAGGTGGTCCCATGTTCCATGTGATCTTTTAAGACCAGAAGAAATATGACCGAGCTACTGACGTAAGCTTCCTTTTGCTGAGACCGACGGCCGACCACCCAGAATCCTGTCACCACTAGGGCTCCGCTTCGAAGGACTCGCTCGAAAAGATGGACACAATCGCAATCCGGCGTACGATCGTTTTATCAGAATCGTCAGAATTTTATTTTGGACGGAAAAAGATGAATTAACACTCCCGTTCTAAGTTGGGGATCAACCTACAATTCCACGCGGGAGGGATGATTCTGGGAG